GTTTTATCCTTTTGTTTCGCTCGTTGACTTGAAGCCAGCCTATTCATAGGTCACGTGATCAAAACGAGTGCACAAACAAATTTTAATATTGCGGATGCTAATGTTTAAAGGCAATCTGTCTCGTTGTGGATTGGTTAACGAGAACAATAGCTGGAACAATAGCCTAAACATGATTCCAGCGATCCGCCATATTCTTTACAATGCGATAAATTAAAGGGGGACTGGAAACAATAAAAATCCCTTTGTTCTTATAACCAATCAACGTCGTGACAGATTGCCTTTAAGTGCGCAGACAAACTTTAAACTCAAACTCAAAAACAGGCTAATCACATTATATATTATCAAAAGTAAAATATTTTGTATTCATACAATTATAAGAAAGCTTTTTAAAGACGATAGAAGGATACATGGAACAGCTCAAAAAGAGCTGTCGAGGCCATTTAGATTTAGAAGCTACTAAGATTTTAATTGTAAATTTAACAATTTAACAGAAAGAAATGGCAAATTTAAAGAAAATCAGAACAAAAACAATACAGAAGTAGCAAAATAAAGTAATAAAGTAATCCCGACTGATAAATCTACCGCTTTCGGAGCCACAACAGGCTCTAGTCTAGTGCCCCAGCTTTTTACACGCAATAAGCATTTACAATATCAGCTGGCAGTGTGCACAACGAATAGCTTAGATTTTATATCTTTTGTTGAAGAAAAGCTAGACGAACTGTCATAATCAATTTCATTTTAACGGACTCTCTTAAAAACGAATAAATGGGATGCTATGCAGTCTTATCGGACAGTAGTGATGGCGGGCAGTTTTTTCTGTTTTTTTCGGTACGGTTGTGCAGTTTGCAAATATTCTTAAACCAAGTTTTGCAGCCAGCTTTATCAACTTCTTTTTGCTTAAAAATTTCGGAGACAAAATGTTCAGCTTCTTCAGGAGACCACAACCAGTGGCGCTAGAAAGGCCATTGCCGAAGAGCGATAAAAATTTCGATTGCGTACAATACTTATCTGGCTAGTTTGAAAAACGAGTTTTTGAAAAAGCAAGAAACAGCCCAAATGACATTAACCAAACTATAATTGGGTTGCTAGAGAACGGCCTGTGTCCCAAAGGCTGATAAAACCAAGAGTAGAGGAGGTTTGATAAAATTAAATTGAGAAATTCTTTACCCAAGCAAAGATAGAATGTCTTTAACAGATAATCACTTTGACAACACATCCAAGATATTCTTTCGCCGTTTTGAATAAAACTTCTGCTCGGTTTGGAACTGTAAATATTGCTATCGACAAAAAACTTCTCTTCTTGTCACTCCACATTCATGAAACGTACAATTAGCTCCAGGCATGTTAATAATATAGCATACTTGATAACTTGATGATAAGTTGAAAATATTATGTTAAAACGACGCGCAAATAAGAAGGTTGAACTCTACCACGCGAATACTGTGCACTCATTTTGATCACGTGACATCATTAAAATGAAACAAAAAGTTAGAACAACAGGCTTCCGGACCAGAGATTCTTCTATTGACTATTCTATAAGCAGGGGCGGTCTGGCCCGGGTGGCAAAGTGGCGATCGCCAGAATGCCAAGCAGAGCAGCGAATGAGCGTACTCTTATCTTCCATTTCTGCTCTCTAATTGATGTGGCTCTGATGCCCAGGGTATCTGACTGTCAGAGACAGTGCTGTGGGAACGAAATTCATATTGAGAGGGGGGCGGCTGGCTGCTCTTTGTATTTATTTCCACTGTTACTGAATACTGATTATCAGGACATAAGGCTTAGGCTGCAATTATTGGGAGGGGGGCTTCAGTAAATGAAAATAACGTAAAATTCAAAACAGGAAATTCAGAAGAGAGATGACAAGCGGTCGTCACTATCATCTGGTTACAGAGATCTGTATCAGGATTTAACAATGCTAAGAAGATTAGTTGACACAAAGAGGAAGCAAAAGAGCAATAAGAGCCTTTTTTCAAGATTTCAAGTTCATAGAATGTCAGAATTGCTGGCATTTGCAAATTGCTACCAGCAGATCCTGAAAACAGATGATCTCAAGGAACAAGCTCTTAGAGAAGAAACATATGGAGAGGAAAACTGTGACTTTCAAGGTGGGGATTCACAAAGAGAGAAAGGACCCCAAAGTCGACATCGACACCCTTTATCAAAAGGGTAAAAGCTTGCCAACTGTGCATACCCTGCGCATTCAAAACTTTGTACCGACAATGATTTTTATTTTTTTATATATATTTATATCTTTTATCATATATAACAATTTTATAAGAATATGAGCATCAGAACTGGTCAAAAGTTGAGATCAAATTAGGAACAAGCTAAAGCTGAGGTATTGTTTAATGCATTTTTGAACAACATTTTATCCCAAAACGAGGATTTTTAGCCATGTGTGGTTGCTTTTCGATGAATATTCAATCTTATCGTCAAATGAAGGCTGTCTCACTCACTTTGTTGGCAAATAATGCCTGAACACCTCCCAAGAGCGAAAAGGCTAGCAATCGCACTGCTTACACCCTATTAATTTAAGAACAAATTAAGAAGATTTTTGGACGGATTTTTACGAAAATTAAGAACAGTCAGCCTGAACCTAAATTAACTGGTTTTTATAAAAAAATTAGTGAATACAACATGCACCTAGGAGCATACCTTTCCCTCTACAACGCGTATAAATGCTTGATAGCACTTAGCTGCACCCAAGTTTCCTTTGAAAGATTATTCAGCGCTACTGATAATTTCAAAAGAAAAGAAAACTTTCCATTTGATTACGAGCAAGTCATTGGCCAATTTGCTGATTCATTTGCACTTCTTCGAAAAGAGTTGAAACTCTGAGAATTCAAATAAGTTTTGATCTTGATTCTTAACTCTACATGGGACTCTAAAGCCTGTTTACACGCGAGGAAAGGTATGGATCCAATTGGGTCCGAATTTACGAATTAAAGTCGATATACTGCTGATGTCTAGCGTATTGCTTTATTATCAATTTTTATTGAATCAATCGTATTTTCAGCCACATTTTTAGTTGGTGTGGCTCAATTTTTCCCGCCACGCCCTAAACCGGGGCCTTGAGGTTTCTAGCCACCCTGCGATTTTGACGCCAGACCGCCCCTGGCTATAACACAATTATTGCTACTATTTCATATACAGTACTGTATCACGGATCAATTATTGATTGGCTTTTGGCAACATTGGTACACTAATAATTATTTAGAATGAAGAACAGACCAGATTTTCTGATAATCAAAAACAATATAAACTTTGAAGAAATTAAGAACCTAACTAAGAACCTACTTAGCCTAAACTGTCAAAAAGTACCCCATAATACAAGAACCTGTTTTGCCAAACTCTGAAAAAAATTTGTTCTTACACGCGGGTTTTTACCGTATATGGAAGTGTTCTAAGCCAAAGTAGAAAGAGTGTCTTTTAAGTGTTTTCAGAACCCCACCAAGCTATTCATAGATAGAGCGAGTGGCAAGCACATATTCAGTTTAGTTGGCATCAAAGAATTAATAAATTCAATTCCTTAATTGGAAGCAGGATGAGCCTTTTGATAATTTTGAAATAGTTATATGTTGATTTTGAAATATGAAATAATGGCAAGATTTCGTTATGAAATATAAAATAATGTCAACCCCCCTTGAAGGGCCTATTTGTCTCTCTCGAATGCCTTCGTCCCAATATTGTTTGACTTGACTTGACTTGACACCAGGAAAAGGGAGTCAGTTTTTAGCTTTAGGCAAAACTGTTTTCAAAAAAAGGAGGGGGTAACAATCTTCCTTTATTACGATACGACAACATTTATTGTATGATTCCCTAAACAAATAAAATCACCCGGAAATGATTTGAAAAAGCAAAGATATGCATCTCCGATTTCAGTTGAATTGAATAGGAGAATTCTGAAAACAAAATCTGCAGACAAGGAACAAGGAATCGAACGAGAGGAGGTGGAGAAAATGGTGATCCAGTGCTTTGGTATTATTTGAAAGCATCAAAGGTGGGCAGCATAAAAAGATTGCATCTATTTATTTTGTGTATAGATCTATGCTCAACATCTCGAGTTTATTACTGTTTTTCGTCAGTTTATTTGGAGAAATATTGGCCTAAGTTCGCACATCGAGATTTGATCTGTTCTTTTAACGATTCCAGCGTCATCAGAAAGCTCCCAAGTCAAGTAGATCTTTGATACAACTAAAATGCATGTAGCATACTGAATGAAGGACTTCTTTTTAGTCAATCTATCCAAGGAACTATATTATCATTTGTAATGAAGGGGGAGAGGAGGTACAATAAAGAGGGATTGTCGAGCGAGCATTGTCTCAAATTTTGAAATGGAGCCAAGTAGACATCAATTAGTCGCAGGTTTAAACAGACTTTTTGAAAGAGATAAGCAAAAATACCATTTTGTTTCGACTGTTTGCAGAGTTTTGGGTAAAAACTTTCGTTTTCAACCTTTTTCCTGTTTGTCTATAATAGAAGTCGTGATAATTCCAGATTAAGTTGTCTTCTTCAACACAAGCGATGATTTAAAATTTACAGCAAAGTAAAAAATAAGTTTTGGTCGAAAATGTCGAGTTTATGAGTTACTTGTTGTGATAGCAAATACTTTTGTTTTAGGCGAATAATCCTGCTCAAGTTCGAAAGGAAAGAAAACCCTTAACAATAAAAAATTCTCAGCAATTTCTTTGCTGATGCTGCAAAGTTGTGTTGTATCTTTGAAGCACTTCATTACTTGAGTGCATCAAACCATATTTTCAAAACCATGCTTATGCATAGTGTTTCCCCTTTCCTCCTTCTGCATCAAAATATAATTGATTATCAGGTTTTCATGTAAATCATAAACAGCAAATTTTCATACACGAGTCCTTCTCATTGAAAAAAGTTTAGCTCTTCAAGCTATAAATTTGCCAAAAATGTTATTATTGAGAATTTGCTACAAAAGTTTCATAGTATGTTATCTATGTAATGGATAAGCAATTTCTATGACAACAGCAAACCTCAGGTCAGGTTTCCTAGCTTCAGCTGTGATTGACAACATGTTTGATTTGGCCAATGCTAAGAATAGAAATTAAGTAACATTGCAAAAAGCAATAGTTGAGAGTCTTATCAAAGGCTATTATACCAAACAGACAAAGCATCAAATAGGAATTGAACAAAATTTTGTTTTTGAACAAAATTTCAGTGTTCCAGGAAGTGATAGCAAAATCATGGTGTCATTTGATAGCTACAAGTAACCACCTGCTGCTATGTGAGAACAGATGATTGCCCTTTAGCTTAATATTGTTTTCCTTTCTGTAGCAAGGAAGACCCAGTGGTGGTGCCAGGGGAGGGCTAGGGGGGCCTACAGCCCCTCTGTCAGAAGCATCTAGCCCCCCTATCGGAGGAAATTTTGAGTTATTGTCGAGCAAATTTGACAAAGTAACATACAAAAATTGCATATTTTAGTCATTTAGCCCTCTTGTCGGAAGCTCAAACCCCTCTGTCTGAAGATTTCTGGCGCCACCTCTGGGAAGACCAAGACAAGCTCATATGTTCATGTCATATTCAATCCAGCAACTGAACTTTACAATTTAGATATAATCATTCTATACAACATCACAGTTTGTTAATTAACACATTAAGACAGAACAACAGACATACTGTACAAACAACAGAGTACAAAGATTCAGATAGAGACAATGACATTATTAAATTACATACATTAACAATCAGTTCCTGGGAAGCACATCCTACATTTCAATAACAGATTTGCCATAGACTGTCAATTTTGCTAATAAAACTAACTTTTTAAAATGCAAACAAACCAATAGAAATTTTTTTATAAATGTTTAAGCTTAGATAAAATTTTTTGGGAATAAAATGAACATATTTTCTGCAGTCTATGCAATTTCACTTAAATCTATTAAATCTATACCATTCATATTTTTACATTCATCATTGTTAAAGGGCCTCTCCAGCCAAAATTTGCAATTGCATTTTATTGGCTAATATAAAGGAGGTGAACCTGCTGATCACAAATTCATTATTTGTTTTTCGATATTTTGTACAGTTTGTGAGATATAAGCTCTTGCATTTCGATAATTGAATTGAATTAACCCACAAAATATTTTCGGTTTGGTGACACTGTGACGCAATTTTGACGTCACAGTGTATTTCGTTAGTCTCGCCTCAAACCGAATCGAACGTCGGCGATTCGCAAATTGAACATTGCAATTGTTGGTGCTCTCAGTTCTGTTCCACCGGCTTTTAGTGAGCATTTCAGATATCAATTCTGAAGCCTTTAGTTGTTCATCGTTTCAGGAAAACAACTTGAAGTGTCAATTTCGATTAATTATACGCGAGGGAAGAGCTGGAACAGGAAGCCGTAGCTTAGTAGGCCTACACAGGTGATCAAAACAAAGTCGTCACACAGCATGGACACATTCCGACCCGCAAACTTAGAATAATTGTAAACATTTAATATTTTTCGATCCTAAAAAGCACCTGCTGTAGATTTAGATGCAGTTATCAACGCGTGACCATGACTCCTTCACGATTCGGTGGAAGATATAAGAAATTCATGACGAACGAGAGCCGCACACTGTGACGTCAGAATGTCACAAAACTGATTCGGCTTTTGTCGTTTTTTTCTAGGAAAGGTGCAACTTTAAAGCCTTATAACTTCTAAACTAATTGAAACTTTGCAAAAACGACAACTTTGCCATAATACACGCACCAGATGCTAACTTTTTAGTCAATAAAAAAAAATATTTTTTTTGGCTGGAGAGGCCCTTTAACATATTTACCTTTTTTACTGTATTGTCTGTCTGTTAAACCATTCAATAACCTTCTGCTTTTGCCCCATCTTTCACCAGAAAAGCTGTTACTTTGAATTTTAGATGGCGGTATCATTTATCCAATGGTATCATTCATTCAAATTTAACTTTTGAATTTCAGTGTTTTCCAAATTGATGAGAAATCATGGAACAAGTGTGTTTCTAGAAGTAAAAATAAGAGATTTTAATGGTTAAGGATTTTTCGAGGTTATAAATTAGCTGTCAAAAGTGGATTTGCCAACAAGCAGATGATATGCAAACTGCAAAATTAACAAATATTAATCTTTTGCAAAAATTTGTTGGGGTCTTTTAGAATTGACACATTTTCATATTCAGTTTTCATTGACAATTGTAACTAAATACATAATACAAATATATATATGCATTTGAATCACCTAAATTAACGAAAACAATCAAAATACATGACAATAAACTAATATGGATAACTACAAAATACATCCATGCCTGACACAGAGGAGAGTGGAAAAAAGGCACAATATAATTGTACAGAACATAAAATGAGCATGGGTTTCAGAAGCAGTCAAGAAGACTACATCCGAAAACCATGCTCATATGCCTTGCACAATTTTATATGCTGTTCTTTTGGTGATTATGGTGCTGGCTTCTTATGGGTTGAAATGTTTGAAAAACAGGGTCAACAATTCAACATACCATAATATTTAATAGTTCTCCATGTGGGCTACCAGGGGTGGGCTAGATTTAATTGCAAATTTTCATAGCTTTGAAGAATAGAAAGTGTTATGTACTTCCCCCATTTAAATGCTTATTAGAAATTCATCAATGCTTCAGGTATTCTCCATGACCAAACTATGATATATGATAAATTACCTTTTTTGCTTTTGAATTTTACAATATCATGGCCTTTGAAATGTTACAAGAGTTCAGATGACTCTTTTTAATTTAGTTATTCATATGACAATGCGCTTGGTAACATAAAACATTCTTTCTAGGACAGCAATGGCTGCCAACCTCTCAGTAATTGTCATTGGAGGTCCAGCTCTTGGTGTGATTTTTGTTTTATTATTGGTTTTGGTCTTAATTCAATGTGGAGATGCCAAGAAGAAAGACAATAAGGACCTGTGAGTTTTTATAAATTCAGTTTTTATAATTTTTTGGCATGACATTTGCAGATAACCGGAAAATGAGATCTCTTATCTTGATATCTCAGTCTAAGTGAAAGCTCCATAATGTTAGTGACTCAAACCACAGACTACATGACCATAAGCACTGAGCTGTTTTCACATCTAGTGACTCGCTAGGGAACAGAAACCAAATTTGCTGCCAAGATTTCAGGTAAATTCTGAAAGGATAAAATTCAAATTGCAGATTTAGCAAAGTTCGAAGCTGGTCAATGCCCACTTTACAAGCTTTACTGAGTTTGTGTATCAGGAAGAACACTACAATTTTGTTTTTTGACAAATTGGTTTTGTTTCTTCAAGATTGATTTTAATTCATGAACATTTTTTTCAGCGATAATGAAGATCTCCAGACTGAAGGACCTTATGAAAAAGTGGCTCCACTGGTTACCCCTGAGCAAAAAATTAACGGGCTGAAGGCAAGTAGTACTGAACAATGCTTTCCAAGTGTTCATAAATAATAAGAATACCTTGAAGATGTAGGCTTTATATTGTATTTAGAAATACCAGTTTTTGCATCACCTCTATTTAACTCGAGGTATTTTTACCTAGCTAAATAACAGATATGTTTGGGAAATAGAAACAACACAAATTCCCTGTTGGTAGGTGTGCATTAATTGAAGGTTTTTTAAATTCCAGGAATCCATCAATTTAAGTGTTTGATAGTTGGGGTATCTGTTAATGCACGGTGTCCTTTAATTGGAAATGTTCATTGATAGGATATATTCGTGTTTACTTTAATGAGAAGATCCTATTTTTGGAGGTCTCACATAAAGTCTGTTTTACTTACTTTTGACATAGAGTCTGTTCTACCTGTAGGTAGGGTAAGCTGGGGGTAATTTGGGACACCCACAATTTGGGAAATTTACTATTGTTAGAAGATAACCTATACTTTTAAAATTGTTATGATTTAAGACATTGAGGTGAAATTTTAGCAAACATGGTATCTTTTGATCCAGTTTCTCTGGTGCCTCTAAGTTTATGTTATTTGCAATAATGAAATGTGTATGTCCCAAATTACCCCTCCTGGCAATCTTAAAAGTAAGGTATATTGCCGAAAAAGGAATATAGAAAACAAATATTCTTCAATATTAATTCATTGCTATCTAAATGTATATAAAAAGCTTATTCGGTATTCTATTAGCTGTGATGGAGCAGTGGTAGGAGAAAAACCTAGAAATTGTTCCAAATTGCCCCCGTTTAACCTACAGGATTTTTAACGAAACTGATGTTTTACATCCATCTGAATATGCTCTCCTTATGCTCTTGAATTCCTCTGCAGCCAGAAGACTGTACAGTAACAGTCCAAATCGACCCTAGCGATGACGGGAACAAGTCTTCGACACTGAAATCCAATGCGTCAAGCTCTATAGAAATCGGAGATCGTCCGAAACAACCTACGCCTTTGTTACCAAGAAATTCAAAAGACTGTGAAAGCGCTCATTTAGTGAACAGCCAAGGAAAAAGTACGATGGCTGAAAATATTGATAATGTACAAGCTTCAAATGAAGTAGCAAAGTCCAAATCGGCCTCACTACCACGACAAAATCAACCAGTTAGCAATGGCTCTCAAAAACAGAGCTCAAAAATAGTAGAAGGGAGTTATGAAACCAGTGGAAGTGGGGAAGAACTTTACACTAAAGTGAAACCGGCAGAGACCAAGCCAGAATGTGCTTACAGTGTTGTTGAAATCGCAGACAAAGAAACAAAATATGAAATGATTGATGGAAAATTAACAAGAACAAGTTATAAAAAGAATGTTGCAACAGAAAATGTACCGAAGTCAGAATATGAGGTTTTCGACATGAATAAACAGCAGGATTTAGATCCGGTCCTTTTTGCAGTGGAAGATTCCGGAGCAAGTGGAATTTACGAGGCTGTCAGCGACTCCCAGAAGGAAAATCCTACAATTGCCGGTAGTCAGGTGAAAACAGACAGTACTGATGGGAAAGAAAAGACTCACGAAAGCGGAGAGGACAACCACGATGAACCAAAGAAGAAATGGGGTCTAACTCGGTTTTCTTTAATCAAGCGAAATAAAACTAAAACCCAAAAAGAGAAACTCCACCCTGAGAGTCCGGCAGAACGTAGAAAGTCTAACCTGAAGGGCTCCAATGAAAATTTAACAAAGCTGGAGACCGAGAGTCATAAAGATCAGGTGATTGAAGGACACAGACGAACTGCTAGTGGACGCGGAGAACTTCTACCGCCTCTTCCTCCAATGGAAAATCTAAGACTGAAAGTAGAGAAAAGAAGGACGTACCACGAGGGAGATTTAATTGTGGCCCAACCTTCTGGGGAACAAGGTAAATCTGTTCAATCAACTTGAAATTATCCTTCTCATTATATAAACAGAAGCTTGTCCATCGCAGCTAATTTTCCTTCGAAAAGGCTATGTAATAGGCCTAGTAATCAGGTGGTGACTTTGTAAAATAAAACTTTAGCTTTATAAAATAAGCGTCTTGAAGTAGCTTGCTCATTAAAATTGGATTCTCAGTACTTCTGTAAGGATATTTAAGAACCAAAAGATTCGGAGAAACGAGGATCGGAAGCTCTTTTAATAGATAAAGCATTGAGAATGATTTAAAGCGTTATTACAAACAGGTGATAAAGTCTATAGCACAATGCCATCGCTTTCCCGTTCTGGTATCAACTTCGGTAGTATAAAGGAAACAACATTTTTGAAGATGGCACGGAGAGCACAAACATTATAATTTGAAAAATAATTCGAAGTATCTTTTATAAAAATATGAATTTTTAGTTGAGAAAATATAAAAAGAAAAAAGATAAAATGATTTTCATTATAATTTGAATACAATTTTTACTATCGTATTGGGGTGATTTTCTGGACATGTAAAATAGATATAAATGAACAATAAATATAATATCAAAGATTCCAATGTACTTAATATGCATCACTTTCACTGACAATATACACTGTATGTCCTTCTAACGTTTAAGTCAGTACCTTTTTACTTTTTATCGCTATATTCTTCTTTTAAAGCAAAAAGGCCTCCAGCTGCTGTGCCAAATTTGTACACCAGTGATAATGCCGGTAACACAGAAGATGCCGTTTACGAGATACCCGATAGAGGCATCGTCAGTGCCAAAATAAGCCCAACTCAACAAGTAAGTCCAAAATGGCGATCAGACTCTGCCAGCTCCCCAAGGATGGCCCATCGCGAAGTTCCAAAGCCCCCAAAGCCTGATGTTGCGCCCACTTTCCCTGCAGATGGTGATGTAGAAGAGAACTACGAATGTATTTCAAGTGAGACTGTCCTCTCCAATGAAATTTCGTCTCGTCGTACTGACGAATCAAAAGATCCAAAATATGCCAAAGTAAAGAAAAAGGAGGTCACGGAACCAAATGGTGGGGAAAAGGGTAAGGAAGAGGAAGCACAGAAGATTGAAGTGTTTATAAGACGGACTACCATATCGACAAATGCGAAACGCACTTGTAATGGTGAAAAGGATGAGGAAAGTGATACTAATGCGGGTGATAGCCTGATGCCTGAAGGCGCCCCTTTTCTAGCCGAAACTAAAGAAGATATTGTAGATGAAAAACCTACTAACATTGAAGATTTGTATGCTAAAGTTGATTTGAATAGAAAGCGCGATGATGCAGCAAAGAGGGCTTTGTATGCAACAGTCAACAAAGAGAAAACGGGTGTGAAGAAATTTTACTATGATGACGATGTTGTGGAGATTAAGAATGAATATGAAGATGGCCATTACACGAAAATTGAAGGTAAGAGCACACAAATACACTTCCGCATTGCATCAAAACACTGAAAAACTATTCTGTGAAGAGAGGTTGAGACATGATAATCCCTTTTTATGAAAAACGATTCAAAATCTGGATTGTTTACATTATGTGTCATGTTATCTTCTGCTGTCTCCATTTTTGGCTCCTTTTCTTTTTTCATCCATGATTTCATCCATGCTTTCTTTATCACTAACAATTCACGGAGGACCTCTATATAATGATTCTAACATACTATGACTGTCAAAGGAACTTACGACACCAAGCAATTGACATTGTATCTTTACATTTGTCATTTCTTTCCCAAATATTAGAATTTGATAGTTCAGTCAATATCATACAAATCACACTTCCATATCTCTTACGTCGCTTTATAATAAACCAACGTGGTTCCTAGAAGGAGCAGGGTGGCTGAATTTGGTCTTGAATGCTTATGTTAGCGTTCCAAGACTTCAGGTAGGATTTTACGCATCCGTTTAGTCATATTTGTAGAGCTATTTGGTTTTCAGTGAACAGCTGTACTGCTGTAGTTACGAGCAGGTTGAACATGAAATGATAGTATATAATGGCGTGGGCCTATTTGAACTGATAGTACATAACGGCTTGGGCCCAGGTTTTAAACATTCTTTCAAAATATTCTAGAGACGGAGGATCCTAGCGAGGAAATTGACGAACAGAAAAATATGGCGATGTTTCAGGCGATCAGGCCATTGACAAAGAACGAAAAGAAATCTCGAAAACAGCCACCAGCTGATGACTATGAGGATATTACCGTGAATGAGTCAACTGGGCAAACGAATCAAGATAAAGGTAATGAATACGAGACAATTGTCGTTGAAAAATCGTCGCAAAAACGTGTCCAGACAGACGAATATGAAGAAATCGGGGAATGCTCAATGAAAGCCAGGACTGTTAACCATTCCGCGGCAGTCAAACAACAGAAGCTATACAAACGCAACGAAGATGACTATCTTGATATCAACGACTTCCCTGATGGAAGTAAAAATAACTCTTTTGACGTGCATTTGTAGCTGGGATCGCGTTCCACTGAGAGCTGATGTGGTTCATTAATACATACTCTTGGTTCTCTGGTTGGGTCTACTGGCATTGCGGAATCCCCCACGATAGAGGGAGACATCAAAACAGCTTTGTCCCCTAGTTATTAACATAACATCCGTAGATGCAGCAGTTTTCAGTTTGCTTCGATTATGCAAATTTTTCATAGAAATGTACTTCTGGAAGCTTAGTTTGATAATAAAGTTTGCGAGCAATATTCGCGGTTAATACGAGTTAACCCCGATATCTCATCAAAGACTGAGCAACATCTACCACATATTTTGTGATATGTTCAATTTTGTAGTAGTTAAGACTGTTCTCTTCTATCTTCAATTTATTTCATTTGCGATTCTTTGTGGTATCTCCAAATTCCCAATCGAGGCAAAAAGTAGCCTTCCTCCCGCTAATTCTGTATCGACCATATCACTGACTTGAATCGTTGAAAATGTCGCTAGGCAAAAAGTGGGTGTTCATCGTTGATGCACACAAATAGGGTAAGCAGGATCGAATGCTGCTATGACTGTAATATGTATGTGTCATTTCGCTACGTTTGGCTTCCCTTTTGTTAGTTTTGCTTAACTGTCAATATGGTTTGGGCGTGTAGGTCTTGAGATGGTAGAGTATGAACAGTTAAAACATACATTTTTTCTGCGTCACCTTTATTTTTAAAAGAAGATAAATGCAATATCTAGTTTTATTACACCTTGACTAGACTTCATTTTAGTAGCCTTTTGCTATTGTGTAGTATTTACCGTTATTCGACTTTAAACCGCTAGAGGAATATTTAGTTTTTAATGTAGTTTGTAGTTAAGTATGCTATATTTTTTCAAAATTGTAAATACATTTATTTTTTGCTGAATATATTTTGACACTTATGCATAACTAGCAGTAAGGAGAGAGGGATAATTGTTTATTTGAATGGGACAGTGGGGAAGGGGATAGACGCTACAAAAAAAGACCTTTATCAAAACACAATTATATTAATATCAGCCCTATCCTCTTATCAAAAGACAATTATGTTAATATATGCCCCATCTAATAAATGTTATTAAGTGACGTTGTATTACCCAATTTACAGCACACGTTAACGACCGGTAGCATAAACTTACATCATAATTATAACATACAGAACCATGTAAACTTTAGCATCTTATCAAAGCTACCTTAAATCAGCCCCTACTCATGAATAAAGATTGAATAGAGAAAAGATAATAAAAGTAAGCACCCCCGTTTCCGCAAAATGTTGACAATATATGCATGATTCGAAAAAAATTTATGATTCTGGGGAATTTAACGTACACGATCACAACATGTGTTATCATTTACACCATCTCATGGAAATGCTATTGTATCTAAATGATATGCAACTTTATCTCTTAGATAAAAGTTGATCTCTCTCCACTACACCACTTTTGCGCTTTTACACTGAAGTTTTCATTTGTCCCATATTTTTTGCCAGTCCGCTGATGCTCCCTGTTTAAATTTTTGGTTGAGCTTTTCCCGATAAATCCATGTCAATAGTTATTCAGTCCCAGTTTCGTAAACGTTCTTTAGATAATATGTATAGGTAAAGTAGAATATTGTAATTACAAAACATTCCGCCAATATTCGTCTCTGGATCATTTTAATAACATTTGAAGCGTAGTACTGTTTATTTTTATTCCTACAAACGATAAGCTCGTAAATGACTCACAGACTGATCTGTTTTTTGTTTCAACGATCCCACGCATGCAGATTTGAAAAGTTCTATTTGGAGCCATGTCAAGTAGAATTGGACCCTAGCCCCCTATATCAACTTTTTTCGATACCGAAGTTTACCTGCGCCAGAGACGCAGTGAGGCTAAGTGAAGGAATTCATTTAGTTAGCAGGACAAACTTAAACTTGAAATGTACTTGAATCGAGTCATAATGGTCTGTCAAGCGTGTTCTGTAATTACACTTTCCGTAGATCAATAGCGAAATTGCAGTTTTCTTCCTAATGAACAGACAACTTCAAAGCGGAGACGTCGTGTCTTTCACAACTTTATAAAATCTTAAACATCGCATTATTGTACAAATGCCTCTTAGCCGAATATATCTTGTGACTTAATCTCTTTCTAGACTACGATTTTGAAAGGTTTTTTGTGTGCATCTTATGCATAATATTTCATTGTCTTTTAAAATGAAAAATGGAAATCAGGATTAACAATTTGGGAAAAGATCAAGATAAGTCCACAGACTCTACGTCACATTTGTCTTTTTGATGAAATATTTTCAAAACAAGTTGTGATAAGAAATTTTTCCTAGGAATATTCTAAACATTGAAAGGAAGGGACCACTCACTTTTTTCACTGTTTTTTACAGCTTCCGTAAACAAGAACACAAAACATTAAAAAAATTTGAACATACTTTTCAACCGTCTTTAATTCTACATTTTCAAATATATTGATTCCTTCAGAACCAATATTACTAGAACAGTACATTTTTTCAATGTGGTATTCAAAAAATTGTTATCTTTTGATAACTTGTGAACCGATTCGATGCTTACTTTATAACAAGGTGGGTTCACATCAGGGCATACAATTCGTATATATTAACATGTTGCTGTTGAACAAAAAGAGACACATGCATTAATAGCCATTGTGAACCACGGCCTATATGAAATATTCGGCAAATCTTAGATGCCAAAATACCAGGTGAGTTGCGTTGCTGCCTCTGAAAACAGAAACGTTTGCTCTTTTACTGTCCTCGTACATTCAGTAATAAAACATATACCTTTGCTTTTTTTACTGTCCTCGTTCATTCTGCGATAAAATCTGCAGCCGAGAGTCTTTTCACCCAGGTAGCGCAAATTCTGAGCATTTTGTGCTAGCAAGTAACATTTCTCTCGATAAAAATAACAAAATCATCACATTTACTGCTGATATTGATGAAACAAGTCCAGAAAGAAACTGTTGTGCAGATTCTGGATAACATGCGAGAAGTATTCATGCAATAAGCACAAAGCAACACAAGAAACCATTTCGCTACTTCATTTTTGCTGTTATCCTGGCAACTCAAATCTTGAGACACTAGCGAGCAACTTTGAGTCGCTGAGCTGGCAGCACTTGTGAATCCTTGGTACCAGAAAATCTTTCATATTCAGAGATCAACCAGTTTAATGACTCCAAACTTTCCTCAAAGACATTGTCTTCAAATCCGTTTATATTCCTATAATGATGCACATGAGCTTTACGTTTGTAGAGTTTCAGAAATCTGCTCTTCATGTCCATAAAAGGTTCCCTTACACATGTGTTATTTGCCAATGTCAACATTGAGTACTGGTGACCAACCGGTGGAACCGAGCATAGGCCCGTTTTCCAGCCCTCCTGATTCCAATGTACAAAATTTAACGATGATCGAAGACGGTCAATGTTACGTCTCAAGTCAGATATCTCGACTTTTCCGCGCACTATCATACCACACGCGAGATATAATTCTTTCCGCGGATTCACCCGCAGAAGCTGATTGTCTTTAGAAAAAGCATCGGTGAACATTTGGTCTAGCCTTCTAGCAGGAATATTAACATCAGCTAAGGCATATAACGGTGTCATACTTGACACTAGATAATGCAGTTTCGGAAAAGGTACTAAGTTCATCGTTATTTCATTCAAATCGACGTTTAAGGAACCTTCAAAACGCGATGAGCTTGTGATATTAAGTATAAGGTTGGCTACGATGTTATTCAAGCCATCAAACGGCTTTTCAGAACTCCTTCCAGCACTTCCTTCACTAGAAGTGACAGCACTTAACGGCTTTACCCCTGATCCAGTAGTACGGGTTGTCGCAATGTTAACGCGCTTACCTGACCTCTGCGGAGGCAGGCTGGATTCTATCTTCTTGACGATGTCAGTGAGCGCCTGAAATCAATAGGAGAAAATTAGAATGTTGTGTATAAAAGTTTTTTGTGAGAGGTAGATGGGCAGCGACTGCATTGAAATGCATAATTCACCCTGTATGATTCATTTAGTCGACATTCTTTCATCTAGTCGAGTTTTATTCGCATCTTAATACGAATTTCAGTCTACCTTTTGATCATTACCAGGTCATTTATACTCAGAGAATTTTCTGAGAAAATAGTGCTGCTTCTAGTATCCTGAAATTTGAAAAAAGCTAAGTTCAGCAACAAAACATGATGTGATTCGTGCTACTAGACTGAGACACAAGAAGTTAACCGCAGACACTATCCAAATACAGAAAGAAGAAATTAGGTTCCTCTCTTGGACGAGGTACAAAATCGTCTTCAGTTTTCAAGAAAATCGCAGGTGTATGGTTACGCATAGAATTAGCCAAAAGGTAAGAGCATTTGCAGCTTTCATTTCAATTGTTTCCTGTCATAGAGGTGGAAGATTCAATGGATTTTTCCTTTCCACACAACAAACAATTTTTCAATAATTTGAAGTAATCAAATAAATGGCTGATTTCTAAACAATATGAAAGTAAAAGTCACAGTTAGTGCCAAAAGAAAGGCACATGATATTAAACATGCAAGACCTTAGGAAAGAATGGGAAAATAACAAATGCTTGTCTATATTCCATATAATTTATGTGATCAGATCAATGTATAGGCAACCATAATTACCTGCTACAATTCTTTCTAAAAAATCTTCAATGTTTGAAAAGGCATTTGAATAATTGCTTTGTAAACAACAACAACAAGCATAGAAGCGATACAAACCTGATTCTCTATTGGTATGACACAGTCTGCACCATCTGTGAGCTGTCGCATAGCCAGAACGCTGTTGTACGGTGACGTTATGACGTCATCATCTTCAGAAGGATAAACTACAGTACTAAATCGGTACACATCTGGGAATTCGTCCTCTAAAAGGCGTAGCACATAAGTACCAAGACCAGACCCAGTTCCTTAAACGGCAAAATAAAGGTTGGCTGATTGACAAAGAATTAACAATTGCCTGCAAAAATTTTCTTCTCAATCTGACATAACGCATATCAATATTTTACTCTAAGTCAATGTCCTTTTTATTTTTTATCCAAAAGAGATCTCGACAGGTATTGCAACCAAAAGCATTTTTACTACTCAGGTACATGCCAGATAACAGAGGAAATTTCACAGCACACGAATTCCAAGTCCTTGATATGCCAACAAAAGAGTTCTTGTTTTCATTTCTCCACCGGACAAAGATGGACTACCTCGAAAGCTTTTAAGGAAACAGTAAAAAGGTATTGTCTGGGTGTCGCAATTGAAATAATTCTGTTTCCAGTGACTTTTCTCACGGTTGCCAATAATGCCATCGCCAATTTTCCTAACTTTGGTCTGTAACCATATAACAAATCATTTTCCCAATAATATCAGAACCATTCAATTCAGAACAAAGTGAAAGCAGCATTGTGAGGTCATGCACTTATTGTCTCATGTTTGATAATATGTAGTTAAATTCAGTAGTAAAACAAATTATCTCTGGAATATGTCTGATTCAGGAAACAGGCGTGAATACTAAAAATCCCAAACAAAACTTTTGAGAGAGACAAAATGCAAATTGTGAAACTTCTGGATCTATGTTGAGTTTGAAACAGACGTTGCTCATTCATCCCCGCAACCAGCTTTGAAATTGTACCTGTGTCATTGAAAAGTGTAAATCAGAAATCAGCCTTAAGCTGAAGGAAGAGGGCTACGGTTGGTGTTCCAAAACCAGGCTTGTTCGGGGTTGCTGTTACACCGTGAACAGGAACATAAGCTAGGAAAGACTTTTTTGATAATGTTTTGATTTCCTAAGATTTGATAGTTTGAAATTTTCAATTCTTTATATATATAAATAATACGTACCACCACCCATCGAGTGAATGCAAAAGAAACATTGTAGACAATCGCAAGTTTCAGCAGCACGTCTAATGAGATTGGCAATTTCGTCTCTGTATCTGTGACCATACTCGAAATGCCCCACAGCCCTAAAAAAGGAAAAAGAGTAAGAAAAATCATACTGGATCTGCTTCTTTGTTATTCAAATAAATCTAATATATTTTTAAACAGAATAGACTATATATTTCCTAGAATCTTTTGAATACCGAAAAAAGTAGATACATGTTTATTAAAATGTAAATTTACAATTCATTATGAAACACAGATAACTGCAAATACCAATTGTTTCCGGATCCATACACGTCTGTAATGAACTGTCGGTTGTCAAAAACATCTCGTAACGATCCTTGTAATATTTCATTGACAACACTGTCTTCCATGTCGATGAGAACTGCCTGCAAATGAAAGGAAGATGTGATCATCCATTTTGCAAACATATGATATACCTTAAATAACATTCAGCGCAAGAGACCAGTTTACATTTAGCCAAATCGAAATGGAGTGGCAACATTTACCTTTTATCGTTTATCGTTATCGTTTTTTAAAGGAATGTAAGCATTAGATTGACCCTAGACGTGCTAAAATGCAAACAGCTTGGGAAAGGTTTATACAGAAATTCGAAGATGCCAAATTTCTTTTGAGCCACAGCTTAATTGTTATGATCCAATACCAAGAGCTTCTATATACATATGCTTTTAGAAAAAGCAATGAAAAAGCATTGAAATGAAAGTAAAAGATTGATTAACTCCATGAAAAAAGCTTTGAAACTATTCGTTGATCATATTCCTAAAAAAATTATCTTCTTAAAACAGTGAGATAGAATCGCAAATATTGGATGAAATTAGAAATTTAATCGACCTGTTCATTTAATAAGAAACCCATCACATGTTCTGTTAAAAAATGTAACCGATTTCTAAACATAGCTTACAGACCTTGCCAGTGCAACAAACAGTAACCTTTGATATGCTTTAATAAAATCATTTTTGAAGTGTTATTACTTCCATTTCAACTGAAGATGCTGGTCAATTTCAGTTTATTCCTGTACTCTTGGCACAAAATTTGGCAGAGATGAACAAGCATGACTTTGTCCAAAATTCGTAACTTCCTAAGTTAGTGATGCCCTAATAGGAGGACATGACTTGCTCCAGAAGCAATTACGTTGACCTGGACACAGGGGCTTCGTAGCGAATGAATTTTAGAGGGGGCCAGAAAGAAAAATTTTCCGAAAAAATTTCTTTGATTTATATAATTCTTCATGTAATTTGGCAGCAGGGAGTAGGGCAGAAAAACTCTTAACTTTTGCCTTAGCTGGAAAAATAATCAAAATGTACTTTTATCTTGTCTCTGTTTCTTTGTACTTACAGTGAGCGTCCCTAACATCCGTAGATTAGAACAAGGGTTTTTTTGACAAGGGAGGACAAGGGTGGACAAGGGTATAATGAAGTTACTACCTGAGTTAGGCGGCACCATGGTTGCTGCCGAAGAGAACAATTT